AGAGCAGGTGACCTGTGCCGGATGGGATTGGCCAGAAGGGCAGTGAATTGCCAGTGCTGTAAACAGCTTTTCAGACTTTGTCATCCATCTGTCTATCTATCTGTCTGTCTGTCTATCTGTCTATATCTCTCAATCTTTCCTTTGGCAAAAAAGAACTGAGGATGAACCCAGTGAGCTCCTGCCTGAATTCTGAACATTTTTGACTGTTCAGAGCATAAACGGCGCTAAAATCGAAACCATTGCTCAACTTACTGCGAGTGCCCTTGCTGCAGTCGTTTTCCAGAGGTGTAGTCTGGAGAGATGGCACATTTTAACATACACTGCCTCGTTGAATTGGCCCTTTTCACTCAAAAAGTGGTACTGCATGGGGGGTTAGGTCCTAGATACCTCCTAAGAAAATTGTAGCTGCGGTTTCATACAGTGGTTCGGGCATGGCTACTGTTTGTGTTTTTATTTTTCACCCCTCTTTTTTTCCCCTAGGGTTTGTGGTAGGGAGACTTTTTAATTTTGTGAGGCCTGAAACCACAGAGCCACTGCAGCAGGAGGTGCATCTTGGTGCTTTCTGTGTTTCCCCTAGAAAACAGGCACCACGGGCGAAGAGCCTGAGGGCTGATTAGCATCACCGAGCTGGTTCCAGCCACCTTGGGCTGCGGTGCCTTCGAAAGGCTGCGGACACCGTTCTGCAGTGTCTTGCATCCAGCCCAAGGGACCAGGCAACTGGCAGGTCACGCTGTGCGCTCAACACCGAGAGGGAGGTTTTGTTGGAGTCTCCAGGTCAAATGTGCCTCGTTAGCTGCGTTTCGGGCAGTGGCAGGCAGAGAGCGGGGCTCAGCTGCGTCGTTGCCTTCGCCTTCTGGTGGCAGCCCGAGGGCTGTGTAAGCCTGAGCCTTTGCCCCCTTCCCCGGGGGTTGGTGCTGGTAGGGCAGATCTCCGTCTCCTCCGAAAAAGTTGGGTCCCAAAGGCCACCTGAGCTCCCGTCCAGCTGGGCGCTGCTCAGTGGAAGAGGAGGAGACTCGTCAGGATGCCTGTGCGGCTCTGTCTGCGTTGTCCCGCTCTTTTTTTTTTTGTTTTGGACTGAACCCGGGGATCGATGGAATGAGCCTGTCAGGCGAAGGCAGTAAGACAGGAACCGGCTGCGGGATCAGCAAGGCGTGCAGCCTCTCTCATGTCGCTCTGTCGCATGCAGACAGGAGCTCTGACGTTAAAGAAAGATCAGTCCACCCCCTTTAACAAGCACTGGGGCTGCCTAAAGTACGGGTTCCTTGTGAAAATGGGGGGCAAAGAAAGAACAGAGGGCAGACACAGGCTTTCTGCTGATTTTATCAGCGTGGCTCTGCCGAGGTCCCTCACTCCTGGTTACGAGGCACTCAGGCTCTGGTTCCTGGACGGCCTTCCTTCAGCTCTGCCAGTGCATGTTAGTCCTGACCCAGAGCAGACAGTGCTTTTTCTGTTTCCTGACATGTTGCTCACTTTGACCTGAAGCTTTTCTCACCTTTCCTGGCTAGATCCTCTCTGGAACGGTTACTGTCAGAGCAGAAGTAGGATTTCTCCAATCTACTGCATCTAGAATTGGGACTGAAGCCAGATTTGTCTGTGCCCTCGACAAATACACAAAAAGTGGACCAGGGGTGAGCGACATCTGAGTGATGCTCCCAGCCTGCATGGGCTAGAATTCCCCGCGTACCTTAAAAGCACAGGACTGAGAGATTAAGGGCTGATTTTAATCTGTCTAAAAGTAATAACTCTGTTGGAATAATTTTCTTTATTAATTGGAGACTGAGCATCTGTGACGGCTGTCAAGGGGGTAACTGTCATAAAATGTACAGAGTGCCATTATAGGAGAGCAGAGGTGTCTCACAGAATGGAAAGTTGGAGGCAGAGAGAACATTTTATATGACAGCTGAGAGGTGGGAAGAAAGGAAGTTAAAACCGGGTTGAATAAAGGAAACAATGGTAAAAGCAGAGAGTTTAGCGCACGACTAGAAAACCTGAAGTTTTGTAACAGAAGTGTCTGCCAGCCTTATCTTTACCAGTGATATCTGTGGTGATTGTAGCTTCCAGATTCTGTCTGTGCGTCTAGCAGGTTATCTGTGCACTTGGAGAGTTCAGAAGACGTTGCTGCTCCTCCCCTAATAATACTGTGAGTCTGTTCTATCATGGTGTCTCAGCTCCCGGAGACAAGTGTGACTTCGCTTTTATTAAAAAACACGTTTGGTTTTTTAATGATTGTAGAGAGAAGTGGGAGAATGTGAACCCTGTCTCGAAAGCGAATTCAGTTGGTTTATCTCCTTTAAAATCTCCAGCTCTCTGAGCCAGACCCGTGAATTTGAGTGGCCTGACTCATGGTTTTTGGGCACGGAGGGGCTGCAATACTGATCTTCAGGCGCTGCAGGATCAGATCACGTAATGCTTCATTCTGGTCCAAATGGCCAGCTGGCCAGAAAGGTGCATGCTGGGATCTGTAGGTTTTGGTGGCCATATGCCTGCATTAGAGATAAGCTTGTTTGCTCTACTCTAAGCAGACAATCTGCTCAACTTAATGCACAATTAGATGTAGCCTTTCAACTGCCGGCAGATTGCCAGCGTGGCCCTTTCTGCTGCGTGGAGGCCAGCGCCCTGGGCGGCAGCGCTTCAGGAGCTGGAGCCGTGGCAGTTTTACGTGGGCTTGTGGGTAACGGAGTGGCCAAGCAAACAGCCGTGATTCCTACCATGCCGACGTCGCGTTCACTTGATGACCTCATGTTGTGCAGATACGAAATGACAGGCACTTGTCAGGCATTGCCATGATGAGGACAGGGAAAATGGAGGGGGAAGGACGATTTTGCTGTGGCTGTGGCATCACATTAGGCTATGCTACGTTCTGGAAGGATAACGGAAGGGGATGGTAGAAAGCTTAAGGCCCTAGCGTAGGATGGAAAGCTTGGGAGGAAGTAAAACAGGGCATGGAAAATTAAATTCTTTGGTGCTTTCAAACTACAGCTCAGAAAAGCACTAACTTGACTCTGAAGGTTTGTTACAGATTACTGACTCGGATCGCTTTGATGTGGAGATAAGGGACACCAACAGGGCACTGTTAAAACCTGATGCAGGAGGGGAGGCATGCTGGAGGCAAAGGGAGAGGAAAACTTAGATAGGAAAAGATATGAGTGGAAACAGGATTTGTATGAGAAGACTCTTCAGAAGTCATGACTCCCAGTCAATAGAGCGCCGTGTTTGGCTGAAAGCCTACCACAGTTCACTGGTGGAAGAAGAGTAGGAATTAGAATCAAAAAAGCAATATAAAAGGAAATGCAGAGAGTTGGGAACCATTAATGATGGATATAAATTGCAGTTTGTAGTGAGTAGAAAATGACAAAGGAAAGCAGGATAACCTGCAGAGGTCCATGACAACTGTAAGGAGGATTTCTTTCAAGTAGATTGAGAGGAAAAGAAAGCATACTAGTGGTACTGGGAACTGTCACTAGATGGTGATGGTAAAAAGGCTGATAACAATGTGGGAGGGCAGAAATGCTCAGTAATTTTTTTTCTAGTTTGGTTTTGGAAAGAATATGGACTTGTGTCAAATGAAGACAATAAAATACTGTTTCAGACAGTTTTCAGACTGTTTGCTAAGGGAGGGTAGAGTTAGACAGCCTTTACTGTGGGTCAAAAAATTAAAATGGCAGAGCCAGGTGAGTTACTCCTGAAATCACGATCTCGGGAGACTGGTGGCACACTTACAATGCTAACCTTGAATAAACCCCAGCATGACAGAAATATTCCCCTAAACTTACCTTGAATAGTAGCTGTGATTCAGAAATCACTGAATGGGGATATTTCTGGAAGGGGTCAGAAAGGGTCTTCAGCTGGGACCAATGCCAGGCTGATATTCTTCCACTTATTTGTGAATGATCGAGAAGTAAAGGGTTGGCGGAGAGACAAATAAGGACAAGGGCGGGATGGCTACAGAGATCTGGTAAACTGGGCTTACCTAAATAAAGTGCGTTTTGAGGTAGCTACTTGCAAAATCATGTATCCAAGGGCAGGAACTGGGAGCCAGAGTTGTATTCTGGAAGCTGCGGCTCTGAAAGGAAATCCAGGCACAACCTACTGAACATCAGCTCCCAGTCTGGTCCTGAGACTTAAAAGGCCAGTATGATCTGTAGATGTATAAACAAGGGCGTAG